ATCCCTTGATACAACCCCCGGGGTTGTCAGTGCTGAGGATCTGTGCCCAAGCAGGGCCAGCTGCCTCAGTGCCAAGCTTTCTGGATGGGATTTTGGGCTTGGAGCTGGGGGATGTCTGTGCCCCCCTGGCACTGAGCAATGCAGCAGGTCCTGAGATGAACGCCAGCTCCGCGCTGCCCCGGTTGTCACTTTCTTCATGTAAATTGTTGAACCCACTGTTTTATACGCCCAGCACATGTGTAAATACTTATTTATTTATTGGAAATATATCCTACGCCACGCGTGATCACCTCGTGATGTTGTGTGCAGACCAATAAAGCTTTTACCGTCTGATTTATAGAAACCTGGCAACTAACTCTTCTTCCTGCCTGACCTTCCCCCCCAACCCCCCACCCCCCAAGCATCTCTCAGCCCCTTGCCAGGGCTCGGAGGCTCCCCAGCAGCAAAGCAGAGCTGTTGGTTAGCAGAGAGCTGTGCTAAAAGCATGCCCTTCACCAGCAGCGTTAAAATAGAACGAATGAGCCAGAAAAATAGTGGAGAAGGGGAATAACATGAAAAGGATGAAGCTCAACCCAAACAAGCTGGAAGTGGCTGATTTAACGCTGCTCGGTGCAGCTCCAGCACTGCTCGACAGCTCCCACAACTGTGCTCAAAGTGCCCTTGAGGGCGATGCTACTCTGCAGCCTAGCCTTCCTGCTGGAAAGCATCAGTTTTGTCCCTCTGCCTGGGGATTTGGGGAGGGGATGTGGGATTTTTTTTATTTGTAGACCCTTGTGGAAAGTTTTTCCTTTCCCTGTAAGATGAGGGGAGAGAGTAAAGGTGGGCTCCTGCTAAGGACTCAAAAATGCAGTTCCGTTTGGCAGGTGGCTTTTTTCCTGGCCTGTTTTTTGCCTGGACGCAGATCAAATGGTGAGAAATGCTGGTGAAACCCTGGCAGGGGTCCCATGCAGAAGCAGAGACTGGGCTGTGCCGTGCTGGTGACCTCATGTCCCCAGGGGCAGCACGTGGGTCCCCTCTGTGCCCATGGCCTCTTCCATCGGCCCTGTCCCATCCGCCCTCCTGTCCTGCATCCTCCCTGGGGTGGAACCCAGCCATTAGCCTGGGGGCTCCCTGGTGGCAATAATCACTCAGCCGAGGCTGGGAGCTGTGTCACGGGCCAGCGTTATGGCTTTTTATTTCATCAGGCTGCACAGCGCGGTCGAGGAGTGGAGAATGCCAGGGGGACACCCCAGCAGAAATGGGGGCAAAGTCATCGGAGAAGCATTCTGTTCCCAACGGGAGGGCAGTGTGGCCCTCCTCACCCAGCACCCTATTTGCAGGGCTGCAGAGGGCACCTTAGAAGGTGGTGGTCTTTGCCAGGAGGGTGCCGGGCTTGCAGCAGGGTTCGGGGCGCACGGGCTCCTGCTGGCAGGGCAGCGGCGGGCACATGCAGCCCTTGCCCTTGGGGTCACTTCGGGGCACGGCGCGGTAATCCAGGGGCTCTTCCTCTTCCTCCTCCTCCTCATCGCCAACAGCCCGTGCCTCGGGTGGGCAGCAGCAGAGGCTGGCATCGAGGCAGCGCCGCAGCACACCATGGAACGAGTGCCGGAAGTTTTCCGAGAGGAACCCGTAGAGGATGGGGTTGGCGCAGCTGTTGGAGTAGCTGAGGATGAGGCAGGCGTTGTTGATGGTGGCGTCGAGGCGGCCGGGCAGAAGAAGGTTGACCAACTGCACCACATAGAAGGGCATCCAGCAGATGACAAACATAGCCACCACCATCAGCACCAGGCGTGTCAGCTTGCCCTCGGAGCGCCGGCGCTGCTGCCAGCCCACCCGCTGCGCCACGGCCCGCATCTTGCCCACAATCAGCAGGTAGCAGAGCCCCATGGCCAGCACCGGCAGCAGGAAGCCCAGCAGCGTGGTGTACACCACAAAGGCTGCCGACCAGGCTGGGCTAGGCCATAGCAGATTGCAAGCCACCGCTTGGCCATCACGTGTGACTGCAGTGCCGGCGAAGATGGGGATGGGTGAGGCCACAAGCAAGGAGAGGAGCCAGACGGCTCCATTGACCATCTTGGCCACCCGTGGACGGCGATAGGTGGCCGCCCGCAGCGGATGCACCACGGCAATGTAGCGGTCCAGGCTGAGCACCGTCAGGCAGAAGACGCTGGTGAACATGTTGAGGCCATCGACGCCCAGCACGGTGCGGCACAGCGCCCGGCCGAAGGGCCAGTGGTGCAGGGCGGCCGAGGTGGCCACGAAGGGGATGCTGAGCATGAAGAGCTCGTCGGCGATGGCCAAGTTGAGCAGGTAGATGTTGGTGGCCGTTTTCATCTTGGTGTAGCGCAGGATGACAAAGATGACCAGCGAGTTGCCCAGCAGCCCCAGCAGGCACACCAGGGCGTAGATGCACTGGATCACCACCATGCCCGCCAGCTCGCCCACCCGTCCGCCCCGTGCCGACGGCCCTTCCATCCAGGCTGCGCTGGCGTTGGGGGGCACCGCAGAGGCGGTCCACGGTGGGAAGTGCTCAGCGTTGGTGCTCATGCTGCAGGGCAGCCCATAGGGGATGAGTGCCGGCCTCTGCCAGAAGGGGAGGGCCCCGCACCGCCGTCCTCACCAGGCTCCGGGGGTCTCAGGGGCCGTGGGCAGGGAGCGGGGGCAGGGGGCACTGTGGCGGCATCAGGAATCAGTGCTGCCTGATGAAACCCCTGCAAATCCCAATGGTTTCCTTCACCCCCGCAGTGGGAAGCGAGCAGAACGCGAGAGCAATCCGGAGAGATTTTACCTCCCAGTCCTGTAGGGATGCACAGCCGGGGGGGCTCCCGGCCGAGGGGCTGCAGGGCTGCTGCTGAGGAAAGTCCCGCTGACCTGGATCAGATGACCGGCGGGATCCGAACCTTTTAAAGCGAAAGGCAGACCGCGCTCTCCGGATTTGCATGTAGCCGAGCCTCTCCGGCCCGCATCACCTGTGCCACGGAAATAAGCTTTCCCATCTTAAAAACAAATAAATAAATAAATTGACACATCGATATTAAAAAAAAAAAATAATAACATAAAATAATTAAAAAAAAAAAAGCGCCCAATTTCTGCTCGCTGCACTCCCATTGAAAACAAAGCATCCGACATACCCTTCCCCCTTCTTTCTCCTCTAAGTGCACGGGATTCCTCCTGCTCCGGCCATGGCCATTGTGGAGGCGGGGATGCCGCAGCCCGGCGCTGTGCTGGGGGGGGCCCGAGCCCCACGCCTGGAGCTGAGCAGGGACCCCACGGCTGGGAGGCGATGGAGGCCTGTTGCCCTGGTGACGGCGGCGGCCCGCCCCCCCCCTTTCCCCGCGCTTGCTCCCCCATCCTTCACGCATCCCTATCCCTGCGTTAGTTTCCCTGTGCAAGAAGTAACAAGGGGATGTGCGGGGTGGGGGTGAGGGCTGCAATCGCTGCCCCAGTGAGGCCGGGTGCTGCTGGCCTGGAAATGGATGGGATCTGTTTGTAGGGTGGGACACCCAAAGCAGCACAGACCCCACAGCATGTGTGTGCATCCCCTTGAGTTTTTCATTTAACAAATCCAACCCAACGCACTCTGGGAGCAAAGGGCTTGGTAATGTGATGGCCACTTACAAGAAGGGCTGTAAAGAGGACCTGGAAGGAGGCTGTGTGAGGTGGGGTCGGCCTCTGCTGGCAGGGAACGGCCATAGGACGAGAGGGGATGGCCTCACGTTGTGCCAGGGGAGGTTCGGGTTGGCTGCTAGGAACAATTCCTTCTCCAGAAGTGATTCTGCACTGACACAGCTGCCCAGGGAGCGGTGGGGTCACCTGGAGGAGTCCCAGAGCCGTGGGATGTGGCACTGAGGGATGTGGGCAGTGGCATGGTAGGTATGGGCTATGGTTAGACTGGGTGATCTTAGTGGTCTTTTTCACCTTTGTTATTCAATGATTTTATGGTTCTCTCCCTTGTCTGCAAGTCAGCTCCCTGCTCACTGGGCAGTGCCTGTGGGAGTTTTGCTGGGATGCAGCTGGCAACCAGCTGGCTGAATTTTTATATGGAAGGAGTTTGGACTGCAGCAATATAGATAAATGCACATATTATGTTACTGAGAACAGGCTCAATGTGCATGGGAACGCAGGTGCCTATGTCTTCCTGGTGCTTAAATATACGGCCATCATTAATCCTGCAGCTAGCAACATTTTTGGCTAGGATGTCCCGGCTTGAATGTCCTGGCTGCGGAAAAGCACAGAAGGAGCTGGCACTGACTGAGGGCTGGGGTGAGGACACTGAGGAATATAGTCAGTGGGCATGGTGGGGATGGTTTGGTGTTGCAGTTGTTGATCTTAGAAGTCTTGTCCAACCTTAATGATCCTACAACACACAGATCAAGCTACCGGTGGGTGCATACATCCAATACGTGTCTGATACATGGGGAGAGCAGGCAGCCTCAGCCTGCACGTGGCTTTTGGATGCTGAGCACCCACCCAACAGTCTACACCCTATTGACTTAGAGCTTTGTAAATGCAGCACCACACACTTTCCTGAGCTCACTCTTGGCATATTCCCTCCAGTTGCTGCTAGCTAAATATTTGTAAAACCAAGCCTGCCCCCAACAAAAGGCACTCAGTGCCTTTTTTTCTGGCTGCAACTGAACATCCACCTTGAAATGCGGCCAAAAGAGGGGGAAAAGGCCAAGGCTGGCTTGTGCTCCTGTTCAAACAGCACGGGCAAGAAGGGAGCAGGCTGGCACTGAGCGGGCTAACCCACCCACAGGGCACAGAAGAATTGGGCTCAGGTCTGCATGGCGCTCACAGCAGTTCTCCAAATTCAGCACAAGAATGGCAACCAGTTCTTCCAGGGTTTGGCTGCCCCTGCAAGCACGGGGCAGACGGAGCCCTTGAGTGAGCAGCCAAGGCAAACAGAGAAAATAAAACAAAATAATCCTTCCAGGCGAGCCCCAAGTGAACTCATCTCGTACTTCTCCGGTCAAAATGAACGTTCAATGAGATGTGAAAAATGTGCAGAGAGGGTTCCCAGCACCCAAAGCCTGGGGTGGGCCTGGAGATGCGGCATAGATGCACCCAGCAGCAGCGCACGTGGGCTGTAACAACACATGATTGCCTTGAATTAGGCCAATTTCCATGGCTCAGCGTTGATGCACACACTCCTCATGATAAGGTATGTATCATTTCCTTCAGCTAACGGTCCCCATGGCTGATTACATCATTATCACTGACTTACATCTGGTTTCTAATCTGATTCTCTTTCCAGTTTCACTGCCAGCATCCTTCTTTTCACTTTTTTTTTTGCATGCAGGTGCTCAGAGGCTGCTAGAAACTGAGAGCAAGGTGCAATTCCTGCAGTAAAGTGCAGCACAGCAATCAGCCCCCAGAGGCATTGCTCCTTGAGGGAATGCATGACTCCAGCACACAAGATCAACACTTCCATCTCTTCTTAGTGTAGATGTGAAATTGGAACAAGCAGAGCCCTTTCCTTCTGCAGAAGCACAAGCATCCAGATGGCATTTATGGTGCCTGGCAGGACCTGCAGCTTGCTTGCAAACAGTGCATTCATTTGGTTGTCATTAATTTGGGTGGATCCTTCAGGATACAAATTGTGGCAAGGGGCTGAGGAGATTTGTCCTTACTTGCATCAGCTGCAGCAGTGACATGGTAAGCTGTAGTAATACAGTGATCCTAATAATGTTGCACACAAGTTATGTCAATGAAATAATAGTTAATAAGTTAGTGCTGGAGCCCTGGGAAAAGGAATGGCCAAGGGTACCCAGTGTGCCCAAGAAGACTCATGCTTGACTTTGCATGTGATTCTGCTACAGCATGGGCCAGCAAGGGATTTGTCCTTGAATCTCAGGGAACCACAAGCCACAGAATCATATAATAGCATAGGTTGGAAGGGGTCTTAAAAAATATCTTGCACTTGGCATCATGGGCCCACTCCTCAGGCCTGCCCAGGTCCCTCTGGATGGCATCCCTTCCTTACACTGCGTCCACTGCACCATTCAGCTTAGTGTCATCAGCAAACTTGCTGAGGGTGCACTTGAATCTGCTGTCTGTGTCACTGATAAAGATGTTGAAGAGCACTGGCCCAAGATGGACCCCTGGGGGGACACCACACCTCACTGCTTGCACCTGGACTTGGAGACATTGACCTCAGCCCTCTGGCTGTGACCATCCAGCCAATTCCTTATCCACCAAACAGTCCCTGCTCCAAGCCTATATCTCTCCAATTCAGAGATAAGATTGTGAGATAACGAGATAAGCCATCTCTGGCTATGTCTTCACAAGCCAATCCATGCAGAGAGCCACAATTGAAATTATTAAATATATATATATATATAATAGTCAGAAAACCAGATAAAATCATTACCACCGGAGCAGAACATTCAAGCACAGAAGGAAAAGAGATTTAAGATGCATGACAGGGAGGAGCAACCATCGCACTGTGCATCCCACCCTGTCCCCCAGGCAAATACGTGCTTTCTTCAGTTATCAATTGTGCAAGGAGCTGGTGGGGTGCCAATGGAAACGGGTGACATTGAGACACGAGGTTGCACGAGGGTGTGGCGAGGCTTAAACCCCCCCCAGTGCCTAGTGGCTCTTGTAGGAAAGCTTCAAGGCTGCCCTGAACGAAGTGCAAACCATGCGAAAAATCAGTTTGCATCAGGCTTGGAACCGAGCGCCGTTTGGTTGTCACTCTCCAAAAATGTGCAAAGCTGTGCCAAGCTCTGCTGCCGGGGGACAGGACATTATCATTCATCCTTTCACTCTCCTGCAGCACGCAGCCATTTCTACAAATTGCCTTTGTGCAAAAACACATGGAACATAAAGGCAACAATGGAGTTCGGGGAGATGCGAGCCGCTCCTCCAGGGTTTCGGATTTCCTGGCAGAGCTCACATATCCTTTGTTGCTGAAAACAAGGATCAGCAGAGAGCACCACACCTTCCAGTGCGTGTGGTACCGGGGCTCCAGCTCCTGTGCTTCCTCCTTTGGGATTCGACAATAGCCAAAAGGTTGTGTTTTTCCCCGTTTCTGGATGGAATGAACCGACGCCGTGCCCACCTTTTGCATCTATTAAATATAAATTGAAAATAGAATGCATAGAACGCATTGTTATATGTATTATAGCATGTAGAATGGATTAGGTTGGAAGGGATCTTAAAGAACGTGGAACAAAAGCTAGAGCAGATGGCATCTCAATCCCAAAATAATAAGGAGGAGAAAGAGGGGAGCAGGAGAAGCCCTTGGGTCCCTCCAGGCACACAGCCCAGCCCTGGCGGTGATGTTTGGGTGCATCGAGATGCTCTCGGAGGCACGGAAACACACAGGGAGCGCCCAGGAGGGTCCCCGGCCCCAGCACAGGGGGATGACAGATGGCACATCCTGCCTTTGTTTTCTGAGGGTGGAGGGCTGGGGAAGGCTGATAGCATCGTGCTGAGCTCGCTGCTATGCTGCGAGGGCCTGCTGCAAGAAAATAAAGCTTTTTTTCTTTCTGTCTTTTTTTTTTCCTCTGGGTTATCTCCGGAAATCAGCCTAGGGACAC